TGGCACTTGATCGATGCGTCTAAAGTTATCGATATCTAAAATGCTTGATCACACGTCTACATGTCGAGAAGCTGCATGGCTCTAATCTGGCACAGGTTGACTATGTTATTAGTATCGATACACCTCGTTTGTGCTCCTGCCAAAAACGAGCATAACTCTAATGAACAGATCAGACATCTTTTCAACTAAAATATTTCTCGTATAGTTCACTTATCAAATAGCAGCATTTTTTTATTTTTTAACTTACAGTATTACAAAAAAAGTACATGTAAACCTATTCATTCAAAATCGTATTAAATCCAAGGGTTCATACAACGGACATAACAAAAACACAAAAAACTGGACAACATGCTACAATATTGCTTCCAATATTTCTTTACATTTTTCTTTATGTAGATCTAAAATCATCAGTGACGTTGATGTGGACACCAGCACTCCGATTAGAGCGTTTCTAATGCACGAACAAATGGCGAAAGCTAATCTTAATCTGGCTCGATTGGCACTGTCGTCATACACACGAGTATAACGGAGTTCACACACTGAAACCCACGGCGCAAGACAACTGCATTTAGACTACAAACTAGAGAACGACACTAAAGTTCCACGAAGACCATGGGACAGGACGGAATCCACAGTTTCATTAAAAAAGGGGAGAAGGGAGAAAGAAAAACTGACCTCAGACCGTTCTCCCCCAGAGAGGAGACGAGAGCGCAGGACGCGAACGACAGTGACGTCATCGGTTGAGCTTGAGGTTCGTCCCTGTCTTTTTTCGCCCAGAGTCATTTGCTCTGGACTTTGCTCCAGGGTCTGATGGACGTCTGGGCCCTTTCTCGGAGCGCCGGTTCCCTGCCTTTCAGGGCGTTGGCGCGTTAACGAAAAAGTCCTTTTACACTGATCTGAGTCCAGTTTAGAGGTTTCTCAAACGATGGTTTAGAAGGTCAGGGTTTGGGTAGGACAAACTGATCCTAGATCAGTCGTAAAAGGCCAGCATCTACCGGGAGATGGCGTAAGGTAGAGGTACGGAACCGTTGCCAGGTCAGAGTTCACAGACAGGATGTGAGCTTGTGGATCGGCGGCACAGTTTAATGGAATAGTGCTTGCGATGTTGGGCTCCAACAGTCATCCACTGCCCCGATGAAGGGCGGGGGTAGGAGGAACGTCTGAACACCACTGTAGCCCCAGAGCGAACGAATCAGCTGCCAACACTAACCAGAGACAAGAGGAGGAGTGCAGAGAAGGGAGGAGAGAAGACGGAAAAGAAGAGGTGACATGCAAACAGTGGATGAAAAGGAGGCAACAGCAGAAAGGAGACAGAATACCAGAGAGAGAAGGCAAAAAAAGAGAAAGACCGCAGGAGGAAAGGAGGTCACCAGCAAAGAGGTAGTGAAAAGGAGAGGTATAGAGAGCGCAAGAGAAAGAGAGAGGCCTCTCCTTCAGTTCTGAGTGGCTAATGCAGTTGCCATTTTCCGTTTTTCCAAATTCATTTGCGCCACGTTAAATTTCCCCTTTTTACAGACGAAATGCGCAGCGGCGACGCAGAGCTCAAACTGCTGCAGCAGCCGTGCTGTGCTTGTGCTTCTGAAATTGCATACGCTCTTTCATCTCAAATCTCAAAAATGAATTATTTAGCCCCAAAACCGACGGCATACAGTAATTGCTCCTCTGTAACAAGAAGTCGTGGAAAGGATGAATATCGTAAAATGGTTTGTTGATAAACTGCCTGTCCAAAGCGCCATGCATGAAAGACGGGGATACGATTTCTTATGGCAATCTTTATCGCAATTATGCAATGCATATAAATGGATGTCTCTCTCTCTCCCTTTCCCTCATTCTCCTCCCCTTCCCCCTCTGTTTCTGTTCCCCCTCCGTTGCAAAGCAGATTAGGGTCTGGGAATTGGAGGCAGTTGATGAATGTCTTTGTGCGTGTGTATTTAGGTCAGTAGAAGATTGGGCATTGCCATGCGGTTATATATAGAAGACCATGGTTCAAATGGAGATCTGCTAATTAATGATAGGTCTGAACGTCGAGCGGTTAGAGAGTGACCCTAAGAATCTTTCGTACTGGGCGGCAGAACCATCTCAGGCCACTGTTCCGCAGTAGAACCATTGCAAACCATGGTCCAATGGCAGAACCATCTCATGGTTCCATGGTGCAACTTTCAGACCGTGGCTCCATGGCACGGCAGAACTGTCTAAGACAACAGTTCAACAACAGAACTGTTTTAGACCATGTTCCCATGGCAGAACCATTTTAAAATTCCATGGTAGAACCATTTTAGACCATAGCTCCACGGCAGAACCAATTACGACTACGGTACGACAATAGAATTGTTTTGCACCACTGTTCCATGGCAGAACTGTCTTGCACAATGTTTCCACAACAAAACTGTCTAAGATCATAGTTCCAAGGAATAACGATCTCAGTTTCGTGCCAGAATCATCTCAGACCATGGTTCTACACCAGTACTGTCCATGGCACCACGGCAGAACTGTCTCACACCATGGTTCCACGGCAGAACCATTTTACAATTCCATGGTAGAACCGTTTCAGACCATAGCTCCACGGCAGAACTGAGACAACGGTACAACAATAGGATTGTTTTGCACCATGGATCCATGGCAGAACTGTCTCAGACAACGGTACAACGACAGAATAGTCTTGCACCACAGTTCCATGGCAGAACTGTCTTGCACCATGGTTCCACAACAAAACTGTCTAAGATCATAGTTCCAAGGAATAACGATCTCACAGTTTCATGGCACAATCCTCCCAGACCATGGTTATATGGCACCACAGCAGAACTGTCTCAGACCATGGTTCCACAGCAGAACCGGTTTGACCCACACATCCACAGGTGAACTGGATCAGCCCCTGGCTCCACGATGTCCTTGTGCTCGCTCTGGTTCTTTGCTTAGCCCTGCCGTGCTGTGTGTTAACGAATGGTGTAATATGTACAGTACATTCCAGAGTTTTGGATGGCGTTGGCCGCTCAATTCACAGTGTGGTTTAAAAGAGATCGCCTTCTTGTTTTTCTGTACAAGAGTCCCTGCGCATTCTGTATCTTATATCTCCCTAGCTGGACTAAAATTAAATGCAGTTAGCAGCAGAAACATTGATTCTGTATGTGCGGCTGTTACGAAAGAAATGCTATTTAGTAGTCTGCCATGCTGTTTTTCAAAAAACGCATCGTACAACACTATGAACGGCGAGACGACTGTGGGGAAGGGGAGGTGTAATGTTAGGGCAGCGCTTGGGCTAAATGCTCTGCAGAGTGCCCAGAACAGGGAGACGTAGGAAAGGCTAGAGCCTGCACTGTGCAGTTTCTCAGAGAAGGACGGTCTCTGTTCAACTGTGTACCACACGGATCTACACCAAGCCAGACTGCACCAGCATCAGTGTGGATAACAGCTTATTATTATTATTACGAAGGCCGTGTCGCATTGTATACGCTCACTCCCTTCCACTGCCAGACCTCTGCAGACAGCCTGACATCAAGAGCAGGTCGCTCAGCAGTGAACTAGGCAACAACTGGAACGCAACCGAGGGCTTGGTTAAACTGCATACAAACTGTAAATCTTCTGTTTTTTCCCATTCTGTCCAAACATGAGGTATATCAGCTTGAGCTCAGTTCGTAGAAAAAAAAAACAAAAAACAAAACAAAAAAATTCCCACAGTTTTAAATCACCAGTATTTAACACCTACAAGTGATTAGTGTGGTATAATACTGTAGGTGTCCTTTTAATAAAGGTGATGTTACTGTGCCTAGCTGTCACCTGAACCCTCCAGTCACAAAAACAAGAGCAGTGTAGAGGTGTGACCTGCGTCCAGTCAGGTCTTTTCACTTTTCAAGTGCAAGATTTGAAGGTCTTAGATCAACCGAGTGATTCAGTGCTGTGTCGGTTATCTCAAATAAGAGATAGTTGGTGGGTGACGAGTGTTTTTATTTTTTCAAATAGCAAGAAAGAGTATCTCTAATGTGTGGCTCATTTGCTCAGTAATGGCATTATAACCAAATCACAAAATTGCTTTCAATTAACAATTAGGGGTAAAGACAACGCAACCCCAAAAGGCTAAAATCTATAGATAAGAACATGAAATTTCTTAAATCTTTGATGTCTGATCAGTGAATTTCTCATAGCACCAAAGAGGGATTCATTGACTAAACTGCACTTGCAAGGTGTGTTGATGTGTTTGTATGTGAGTGTGTGTGTGTGTTGTGTGTGTGTTTACATTCCTGTACTCTCAAACAAAGCGTCTGACCTTTGACATTGGTTGTCTGTCTACCTTTCTTCAACTGAGTTTAGCTGTTGACGCTAAACGGAGACTCGGTTTGATCCTCTAATCACATATAAAAAATATCAAGATTAGTAAGTCTTTATACATTCAGGTCAACCTGGAATCACAGGTTTAAGTAATATCTAAAAGCGTCAGGGTGAGGCCTTATGGAACCAACCATGATGGAGAAATATCGGAGCTGTCCGATTAACGGAAGAAAGCCAGTAATGTTGATCTGAAGCGGCTAGCGAGCGTGTCTGATCATGCCTCAGTTCGACACAAGCCGGCATGAATAGGAGGCAATAAAACGTTTCAAAGTTTCTGCTTAGCTTCCGCTCATATAGATAACCCAACCAGACTGCCAGACTGCTTCAAATACAGGCCGGAAACACATATACATCTGTAAAGAGTGGTATCACTTATATTGAGCTGACCCAAAGAGGGGTCACTGGGAAACCCATCTCCCGGGCTGAGGCCCCTGTCAAGTAGTTCAACTAATTTGTACAAGCTCTGCCAACGACAGAAAAACAAAACGGAACCTAGCTGGCCCCTGGCTGTGGGAGAGAGAGGAGATGAGGTCTAGGACTCCTCCCTCTCGGAGTGCCACAGGGTTCAATACTCAGACCCTCACAATCCACACCAATCGACACGAGTTTAAAAAATAAAAAAACAGCAGAATTTCAGTCACAAATTCATATTCACAGATCACACACTTCTTCCCCCAGGCCCACAGCTGAGCATCTTTCGTTCCTCACACCATTCAAATTTCTTTTTTTTTTTTTATTTTCTCTCCTTTGAAATTTGAACTTGGATGCCCTTTGGATTACCACCCGCTTCCCTCCCCATTTTTCTTCCAATCGTTCATCTGTTCGTTCGTTCGTTCTTTCCTCTTTCGTGTCCCTTCCTCGCTGTTCCCCTCCCCCCTGCTCGGGTTCTGTCTCTAGCCCACTTTCTGTGGATTTGTGGCGCGGACGCCTTGCTCATAAGTGATCCGCTGGCTGATGAGATACTGGGCGGCCTGCGTTGCTGCAGGAGACCCTGTGATGGTTACTTTACGGTTGCGTGTGCCAGGGATGAACTCGCCCTTTTTGGAGATTTGAATGCGAGCACCTGTCAGCTCCTGGTACTCCACCAGAGTCTTCCCGCCTTTCCCCAAGATGGCACCCACCAGGTTCTCAGGCACAGCAATCTCCACCACCTCCTTCCCGCCCTCACCGAGCTTCTCTGTCCCCAGCAGTGAGGATGCCACGAGTGGGGACGAAGGGTTTAGGTAACCATTGGAGGCCCCTGTTGCAGCTGCCAGTGAGCCCAATGAGAAGCCCCCAAGACTTGGTGCAGCAGGGTGACCTGCCCCTCCCGAAGCCTCGCTGGCATAGGAGGCCAGAAGGTTAGCTGCGGCAGCGGCTGCAGGGTTAGCACTGGCGGCGACTGCGGCAAGAACTCCGGACGCAGCAGCTGGGTTAAGGCCGAGTCCCAGTGTGTTGGTGTTGTAGCCATAGCTGGCCAGTGTGTTTAGAGCTGATGTGATGGCCAGCAGATCATTCCCGGATAAGCTGGACATGGCCGCAGGGAAGCCACCCATGCCGGCCAGACCTGCTTGGCCCAACAGGGTGGAGGCTGTGGCAGCGGCGGCAGCATTGGGTAAGACCTCGGTGCTGTTGGCGTATGGGGAGCCGGTGGGGTTAGAGTTGGCCACGGGGCCTGTGACGTTGGAGTAGCTGATGTTCAGGCAACTGCTGCTCTGCGGGTCCTCCTGGATCTTTTGTACAATAATCTCCACAGCTTTGCGGTTCTGCTCAGGCTCACCGCTGACAGTGACCACGCGCTCCTGCAGGTTGATGCCCTCAGGCTTCTGGGAGAGCTGTACCCATGCACCCGACTGCTCCATCACGGACTTCACCGTGGCTCCACCTTTACCAATAATCAGCCCTGCTGTACTGTTGGGTACGATTAGCTTGGCCTGCAGAGAAGAGAGGGAGAGAGAGAGAGAAATGCTCAAGAACAGCATCTGATTGTTCAACAAAAATACACCCTACGCTTACAATAATAACCACCCATGACTATTATGACAGACATGCAGACTACAATGTCCTACGGAAACACTGTAAACACTCTATTGTTCTATTTACATTAATCTTTCTGGGATGCCCGACCCAGATTTGTGTACAGGTGTGTGCACTGCATCTAAAATAGATCATGTATATGTGGCCTTACCTACACAAACTATTGCATCATACTGTAAACAACACCTGGACTGTGCGACTGCATGTGTATAAACTGTACACATGTAAATGTTTGGCAGCCAAAATATTAGCAAAAAAGTAGCCTCTGTTGCCATCATTCATCATCTGCCAGGTTTCTGAGTGGACAGGAGACCTGCCACTCATTTTGACTTGTGTACACAGAAAATAAACATATAGGTCAATGAATTTTAGGTATTATATGCTACCCAGTATTGTTGGTCATTTGATTGGTTCACCTTGGCCTTCTCTAACCCAATTGGAGAAGACTGAATGAATGTTTCCAGGCAGTAACTAAATGACAGCAGTGTGGACTACTGCTCACCACAACTATATATACTGTCCAGGCCACAGCCAGGCGTGTGCGTGTGTGTGTGTGTGTGTGTGTGTGTGTGTGTGAGTGGACGTTTTGTGGGTAAGGTCTCACTGTCCGTTCAGTGCTTATCTCAGCCATTTGTTGATCCTAGGGCTTACTGTGCAGCTGCTCACTCTCTTTCTCTCTTTCTGTCCCTGCTCTTTCTCTTTCCCTGGAACACTCGGTAAAAATAACCCAGAACTCTCACACTTTCCAGGTCTGGTCTGACCCTCTCTCCCTGGGGAAGACCCCCAGCCTGTCTCCCCTTATGCCCCGGAGCTCCAGGGAGCATTTCAGGCTTTACGATATCACACTGCCAGACTGCTCTCAGCATCCAGGCCCTGATTTAAATTAGAAACTACAGCCCAGAGGGCCAAAAAGCTTAATCTGTGGGCTTTAGGTCAGATATCGATCCAAGTGTTGATCATTCAGGCAGGATTTAACCAAATCTAAACTGACGATGAAAATGTGTTGCTAAAGTCATCATTTAAAGCATAAAAGACAATATTGTTAGGTAATAATTTGATCACATTTTTATGAGTATGTAAGACGTATCGCCAAACATTTACGCTTAAGAATGCGAAGATTTATTAAAATGCACGATTATGCAAATAGCAAACACCTCCTTTCCTACCAGTTTCCAAACCCCTTCACTCCACTACTCTGCACAATGTGCTCTAACCTTTGGTGAATCAGGCATACAGCCTTCTATGTTTGAGCAGACTGAGCAGATGAGACGAAGCAGAGCGGAAACAAAAAGCTCCCGCTGTAATATTAAATCATATGCAAATTTTCGATTCATCACTCAGTAACAGTTAAACCATAAACTGAGCAAGTGCTAAATGTAATGGTGCTGAGAACAGCACAGGGGAGCTGATTATGCTAACGCTAACTTAGCAGGTTAATATGTTAGCTCAACGCGCCACAGAACAGGTTAGATTCCTTCTTTCCGTCACACCAACACCAGCCACACAACTTTACTCGCTCAGATTCGAGTCTTTATCCTCTAAACTTGTAGTGTTGTGGTGTATGAACTCAATTTAGTCCGCTCTCTGAACTAACGTTAGCCCCTGGTGCTAATGAACACAGTACAGTGGAGCAAGACTAGCTTAGCTAACAGCTCCACACACAACACAGGTTCATCACCTCAGATTTGAGTTCTTATGATCTAAACTTGCATCATGAGTCAGAACCAAACCTCCGCTGTGGTGTGTGAAGCTGTTTAAGTCGGCTTACTAAACTAACACTAGCTTCTAGTGCTAACTAGTGAAGTTTAGCTTAGCTTATGGCTTCACACACAACAGCACAGTTCATCCTCTCAGTTCTGAATCTCGATGATTCAAAGCTTGCATTAGTGGAGCTTGAATTCAGACCTGGGCTGCTGAGTGAAGCTTAAGACAGCACTACACCATATTTGACAGTTTATTAGACTGAAGAGGGGAAAAAAAACATAATTTTAAACATTAATGTTACATCTGTATGTGTAATTTCCCTGTCATCCTCTTATTAGCTCATTTAGTCTAGATTGAAGCTCATAATTGTGCCACGAACTGCTTTTTTTAGATGTACTGAGAAACTCTGTGTTGTCACATTTCACACAAATACAAATCTATATAATTACAACCCCATTTCCAAACAAAGTTGGGACGCTGTGCAAAATGTAAATAAAAGCAAAATTCAACGATGACACTGTATCCTCCGGGCTAAACATGTTGTTGGTATCAAATTCAAAACGGGCATATATATTTCCAAAAAACAATAGAATTCAACATTTAACTTGTCTTTACTATTTTCGATGAAATATAGGGTTTAAAAGATTTGCACATCATTGCATTTTGTTATTATTTACATTTTACACAGCGTCCCAACTTTTTTGGAAATGGGGTTGTGTAATAAACCATCCAAGAGCAGACCAACCTTGTTGAGATCAACATGTTTTGAGTGCAGGAAGACTTAACAAGTTAAGTTTTAACAGCCATAAGACACTTATATAAGTGAGTTATGCCTGTTAAATAAAAGTCTCTTTATTGTATTTTGTAATGAATATATATTTTTTTCCGATTCGCTGTGACCTGTTAAATATACCTATGAATGTTTGTTGTTTGTTCCATTAGTTATGAGTAAAATGACAACTATTTTAGCGTTATTGTAATAACGTTACATAACATTACGTAACATTTCGGAGCATATTGTGGGAGATGCTGAATAAACATCACTGTACTTGTAGTTTTGGTAGTATTATTTAAAAACTTCTGTCTGTTCCAACTTATCAGGCCTCAGAAAACCAAATCAGGACAATATACTGTGTGTTGTAAAAATGTCAAGTGTTGTGCCGTTACATTTTCTCCATATTGCCCACTCCTAGTTCTATGTTTAGTAATGTGGATGTCTGTCTGCGTGTTTGAGGTGTTTGACGTGGTCAGGGTCAGAGGTGGATTGAGCTCAGTTGCTGACCTGTTTGACGCGGTCTGGGTTAACTGTAGTCTGGGGCTGCAGGATGCTGACCGGTTCGCTCTTCTGGCTGCTCTGCGGCATCTCGCGCACTTTCTCCGCGATGAAGTTATGAACTCCATTGAGGGCCTCCACTGTACCCTGGATCAAACACACTCGCTCCGTCGTACCTACACACACGCGCACACACACACACACACACACACACACACACACGTACAGAAACAGCTTTAGCATATACACAGAATGCTGTACAACAAATATTTAATGCAAACATTAGATGAGTGTAAAACGTGAAAAGGAACAAATCTTTCACCATTTAAGATGAGACACCACAGGAAAACTGGGTATTTTTTTCAAAACAATAGATACCAAAATAAATCTTTAAGAGTCGATTGCTGATATTCTTACAAGCATTTTTGTATTGCAAGTTTTGCACAAAAAATGAATGCAAATGAGATTGTCTACTTAAGTCAATAATAAAATCTAGAATTAAGTTGTTTGTCATTTTGAAATCAGGTCATATTGTAGTACATCTAGCACAAATCTGGGTATAAGCAACTTATTAGGAAATTCCTCTATAATATCCTCTGGAACGTGTTTAAGAATGAACATGCAAGATGTGAGATTTTTGGTTGCATGTATGTCGACAAAAACTGATTCTGAGAAAAACAATTT